ATTTTAAGACGTAGTTTGAATCTCGAGGCAAGGAGGTGGAAAACATTTGTATGTAGCAGGTTGAACCCCACGACTCATGACAACTCCCTCCCTCTTTACCGGGCAGTTTTGGTGGCTTCGATTATGGCGGGGTACCCAATCAATATGGGAAATGTGATGTCGAGGATAATTACAATTGTGGGTGCTGAGAATGACAGAAACTTCCCGTTCTTCAGTTTTCTGACTATGTACTTCCGGGACTTAAAAGTTGAAAAGAGGCCCTTCGACATCAAGGTCAAAGCGAAGGCCCCATTTTATTGGTATAACATGCAGGGGGATGATAACCCCAAGAGCAAGAACTTCAAGGGTACATCTACTGCTCCAATTGGCCAGTTTGAGGAGCCAATTGTGGTAGCGGCCCCTGCTCAGCCTGCCTCTACCTCTACTGATATCCCTCCTGGCCCATCCACCTTAGTAGACCTGGAGATACCATCTTCCCGTGCCTATCCGGTGACTGCCCATCAACTAAGCCAGGCTCTCCTCAGTATCAACAACTGGATGCAGACTGTGTCATCCAAGTTGTCTACCCTCACTACCACAGTAGAGGCTCAGTCGGCACCTCCACCTCCACAGGTCTCCCAGTCCATAGAGGATGCTCTTAAGGAGATTTGGCAAACCAGCAAAAAATCCTCGACACTCATAAGGTGCTCACAAAGGTAGTTGATTCACACAGCAAGGCTCTCAAGGAGCTTATTAGGGAGCACAAGAAGTTGAGGAAGACACAGGCCTCCAAGGAGTTCGTGAAGGAGTTGAGAGCTAATGTTGATAGACTGAAGGCAGATTAGCTGCCTTTAGATTTACTGCTCCAGGACCCAGTACCAGCAGTTCATCCCCAACCGGAGCAGTTACGTAAGCCTCCCAAGAGGAAGAGGATGATTCTCAGAGTAGACGATGCAATCATCCAGTTGGCAGACCCACCGGAGGCTTCCTCCAGTCAGCCACAGGATGCACCTCATGAGCATGTCCAAGCCCAGGTCCCAACAACACAACAGTAGGCCTTAGGGAACCAGTCTGAGGTTCCCGAGCATAGTGAGGACTCAGGGACCACTCAGGAGCCCATGCAGACAGACAGGCCATAGGGAGTCCCTATATCCTTTTTCCCTTTCTCTTTTTGGTGCTTTATTTAGTTTAGTTGGCATTGGGGACAATGTCAAAGGGTAGACCCCAATTTTATGGATTCATTCGGATGATTATATATATATTTGATACTTTTAATGTTTTCCTTATCTTTTCATCTTTAGGTTGTATATAATTTTAACATTTCATTACATTTATCACACTTTTATTTTACTTTGGGTCTGTATATAAAGTTATGCTGCATTGTACATATTCATCCCATCTATTGTACATTCGACAAATCCCCTTCTATATATATTTATTCTACTTTCCGCAAATTTTTCGTTCTTAGCTTCTTATTTATGATTCGTAGCTTATAGTTTTAAAAGTTTGCAATAAGTGTTTGGTTTTCTTAATGCCACGGTTCTTTCCAAAGGTGGAGCTTTGTGTTAACCGGGTGGCTCTTCCCAATGTTGGATGGCGTGACAACCTTCTTAAGAGTTTGATTCCGTTTTTCTTTTTGTTTTTAGTAATTAGTAGTTAAGGGTGCCTCAAGCAAAGCTTCACTTGGGCCTAGCACATTTGCCTTTGATCTTATGGTCAAAAATAAATTGTTGTGTTTAGGATGGTGAAAGTAGTGACCTTGAGACTTTTGTGTTGACCAATAATCATCAAGTGGTTTTTTCGGACCATTGTGTGCTCAAATATTATCTAAGGTCGTTGTGGGCCACCGACTATGTATCTTTAGCAATCCCATAGCTTGTGTGGTGAGTAATCGCATTACAAGTCCAAGTCCTGAGCCATTGGTCTAGAACTTGCCCTGAATGTTTGTTGAGGCGAAATACTAAGTGAATTTTGACTTGAGACATGATTATAGGCTCTCCTTGGTCCAAATAATAGCTTGAACACTTCCATAACATACCAATCATAAGATCCCTAGTCAACCCTTTTGAGCCCTAGATCGTTTTCTTTTAAGAACCATGATACAAGCCTTTACCCGTTCTAAAAGATACCCTCTCTTGGCACCCGATCTTTCCTTTAGCACATGGCAAAAGTATAAGTTTGGGGGGGAGACGAGGATTGCAACAAAGTGGTAAAAATGCACAAAAATGAAGAAAAAGAAAGGCAATGAAAAAGAAAGAAAAGCAAAAAGACAAAAAGAATGTTCAATAGGAAAGAGAATAAAAAAAGATTAAAGAAAAGCAAAGAATGAAAGGTGTGGAAAGTTGAAAAAGGAGAAAAGGTTTGAAATGTATAAGAAAGAGTGACAGTGTGTCTCTCTAACCCCTTAGAAAGAAGTGAAATGACTCAAAGAGTCAAGTGAAAGTGTGCCAAATGAAACAAAAGAAGTGCTTAAGGGAATATGGATCCTTCTTAGATCAAACATTTCCTACCCTGAACCAAAAGACTTTACAATGTCTCCACAAAAATGCTATATGATCTTGAGTCGGATGAAGCTTACATTAGTGGTGACTCACATAAGGGGCAAGCATATGGTACTTAGATCCGGACTTGTGACTTTTTCTTAAGAGAGATGAGTGAATTTCTATTAACCTCGTTATGAGTGCCACTATTCTAAAAGTGAGGTTTGCTTAGGGAGAGTTGAGGATGTGTGAGTTTGGGTTCCACAATGACCAAAGTAATAGAAAGAGTTCTTTGATGTGTTGAGTCAACTCTTGATGCTCCTGTGTCGCACTTATTCCATGGAGTTTCAAAGAGTAAAAAGTTGTTAATGATTCATTTGTATTGAGGAAAATTGTTAGTCCCAATTGATGCTAGATTAGGTTACTTTAGGACAGCTAAAATTTTCTTGGATGTTCTCTTGAGGGGTGGGTCTTATTTTGTTTGCTTGAGGACAAGCAAAAGCTTAAGTTTGGGGGAGTTGATAACTAGGGATTTTGCTACATTTTATACTCCTTCTTGCTTAAGTTTTGATTAGAAATATGTACAAAATAGTCCCAAAGGCTCACAAGTTATGCTTGATTACAGGTTTGATCAACAAAGTGACAAAAAGTCAAATATCAGCTCAAAAGGAGTGAAACTTGCACAAGTATCAAGACAAGACAAAGCTCAGGCAAAACAAGGCCAGTGCGGCCACACACCATTCTGTGCGGTCCGCACTATGAGGTTCAAAGAGCATGACATTCAGGCACAAAGACAAGGCGGACGCACTAGGTTTTGTGCGGTCCGCACTAAGATCAATGCAGCCGCACTCGATTTAGTGCGGTCCGTAGTAAGGAGTATCAGAGAGTTACCAAATTCCGAGTTCAAGCCAATGCGGTCCGCGCTCCATTTTATATGGACCGCACTAGAAGCCCCCGCGACCGCAGTCCATTCTCTGCGGTCCGCACTAGCCCCGTAGGGGTATTTTTGTCCAGATTTTTCAGCTTAGTATAAATAACTTTTTTCCCATTTTTAGGGTATCAGATAGTTTTGGAACATAGTTACGCTCGTGGGTTCAGATGTTTTAGATATTTTGGGAATTTTATCTACATTTCAACATTGAATCTTATTGTTTATCTTAGTAATTAATTAATATGAGTTGTTCTTTATCTATTTCTTACTTTTTCTTCTTCAATTATGAGTAGCTAAACCCATAAGCTAGGGTTGTGGCTCAACTCTAGTATGGGTAATTGATGGGTCTTGTGTTTTAGGGCTAGATTGACTATGGGTGTTTGATATTTGGGCTAATTTCATGTTTAATTGTTGAATTAGTGGTTGCAAACACTAGTTTGTATTTAGTTGACTTGAGCTCTTCTTGAGAAAGAGAGCTTGAGTCTCTGAAATTGGTCCAACAAGGAATTGGGGCATAGTCAAGAGATTGATAGCTCCAATTAAAGGGTTAAATCTTGAGAGAGCAATACCCGACTTGAACCTTGATTGTTTGCGCAAATTTGCATACCCAATTGGTCTTGAGAAAGTCAATTCGGGCAAAATCACTCGAACCACCAAGAGGTGTAGAGTGGGTAATATTGTGCAACGGTTATATCATACTCCCCAAATATGTCAATCATGCCTTAGACTCAAGTATTCGTTAATTGACCACATAGGCGGAAGTCACTACCTTAGTGTCTTTTAAACTATTTGAGTAACCCGCAACATTTTACTCTTAGCTTAATCTAGTTTCATTTACCATTGTAGTTTGATAAAAGTAGAAGTAAATCAAAAACCCCAAAAATGATTAGAAGTGCAATTTGGAACACATACGCAATCCTAAACTAGATAGATACTCGATTCCAAATTCTAGCTCTCTGTGGAAATCGATCCCGACCCTAAATCGGGTAAAAGCTGCTCCAACCCTCTCTTGCTACTCAATAGTAGTGCGGAGTAGGCCGTGACCACTGTCCCATCAAGTTTCTATCAAGTAATCAAATTTTCTACCCCATGGGGAATATTCAGTATCCGAGGCGAGCAACGCACCGCCCAAGAGTGCTACCGAATCGCCCAAGATTGCACACACACCCAACAACTAAAGAGGGCAAGTGCGGAAGCATAGCAATCAGCCATATCGGGAACCAAACCCGATATACAAATAGAGGCCATCAAAGACCCGGATGTCGTAGAAGCCTGCAAGGCAACCGTAGAAGACCTCGACCCCGTTCAATTGGACAACACCGATAGCACGAAAAAAGATTATATTGGACACAACCTCTCAGAACCAGGTAAGTTCCATGAGTTCTTAACTAACAGTGCCGATTTATTTGCCTTTTCCCATTTAGATATACCGGGAATCCCAAGGGACATCGCCACACATAGGCTGAATGTCGACCCTCTTTACCCGCCAGTACGACAAATGCGGAGAAAGTTCAATGCCATAAGAGGCAGTCAGCGAAGAAGTTGACAAGTTGCTCAATAATGGTTCCATTCGAGAATCAAAGTATCCTCAGTGAGTCGCCAATGTGGTCATGGTAAAAAAGAAGAACGAGAAGTGGCAGATGAGTGTCGACTTTACTGACCTGAACAAAGCATGCCCAAAAGATTCATTTCCGTTACCACATATCGACCAACTCATCGATGCAACGGCGGGACACGAACTATTAAGCTTCTTACATGCTTATTCTGGTTACAACCAAATCCTAATGGCAGAAGACCAAGAAAAGACCACTTTCATCACTCACCAAGGAACGTACTACTACATAGTTATTCCGTTCGGACTCAATAACGTAGGGGCAACGTATCAAAGGTTAGTCACCAAGATGTTCAAAAAACTACTCGGAAAGACCATGGAGGTCTACATCGACAACATGCTAGTGAAGTCAAAAAAGGAAGGAGGGTCACATTGGTCAGCTGAAGGAAGCCTTCGAAATATTGAGGCGATACGGAATGAAATTGAATCCCAAAAAATGCGCCTTTGGCGTAACCTCAGGAAAGTTCCTTAGTTTTTTGGTATCGCAACGGGGTATCGAGGTCAACCCGGATCAGATCAGGGCTATAGAAGGAATACCGGAGACATTAACCAGCAAGAAGCAGGTACAAAAATTGACAGGATGAATAGCCGTCCTATCGAGGTTCATCTCACGATCATCAGTCAAGTGCCATAAATTTTTCAATGTACTAAAGAAGGACCACGGGCTATAGTGGATTTCAGAATGCGCCGACGCCTTAAGAAAACTGAAAGCGTATCTATCCTTGCCGCCACTACTCGTCAAGGCAGACGCGGGCGAATTACTCCTAGTGTACCTAGCAGTCTCCGAAGCCATGGTAAGTGTAGTTTTGGTCCACGAAAATAAAGGTACGCAATCTCCAATTTATTATATCAGCAAAACCTTAATTGATGCTGAAACAAGGTACCCCCACCTTGAGAAACTAGCTCTGACATTAGTCATAGCTTCACGAAAGCTTAGACCATATTTTCAATGTCACCCTATAAAGGTGGTGACAGTCTTCCCCCTCAGGGGCATCCTACACAAACCCGAACTATCAGGTAGGTTGGCCAAATGGGCCATAGAATTAAGCGAGCACGACATAACATACCAACCACGAACTGCTATAAAGTCGCAGGTGCTCGCCGATTTTGTCGTCGATTTCAGCGCGGAAGTATTACCTGAAGTAGAGAAGGAGGCGCTCTGCGCTTTCACACAATCTGACCTCTGGGTCCTCTACACTAACGGCGCATCTAATGCATTAGGATCAGGACTGGGACTCATCCTCGAGGTTCTTATGGGCGAAGTAATTCAACAGTCCATACGATGCCCCGAGATGACTAACAACGAGGCCGAGTTTGAAGTTGTGATTGCAGGATTGAAATTAGCTCTCAAATATGGCGCTCGACGACTCGTCCTCCATTGCGACTCTCAACTCGTGGTAAACCAAGTCACTAGGAATTTCCAAATCAAAGAACAGAGACTACAAAAGTACCAGTCAGAAATTCACAAACTGCTGCCAGAATTCGACGAATGCCGTCTCGACCAGATACACAGGGCACAGAATATCGAAGCGGACGGTCTCGCCAAGCTAGCAGCAGCCACCAAAAATATCAACAAGGAGAACGTGGTCACCCTTCTCCATTCCGCAATAGACAAAGTCGAGTTACATTATATAAACCTAAATTGGGACTAGCGCAACCGTATCGTAACATATTTGTAGGAAGGGACGCTCCCGCAAGATAAGAAAGAAACCAAAAAATTTCGAATACAGGCGGCCAGATACAACCTCGTAAACTATGATCTTTACAAAAGAACATTCGGCGACCCCCTGGCTAAGTGTCTTGGGCCAAATCAAACAAGGCGAGTACTAGAAGAAGTACACGAGGGGCACTGCGGTGCCCATAAGGGAAATCGTGCCCTCATCAGATACCTCATCTGCACCAGATACTACTGGCCTACCATGAAAAAAGAAACTACAGATTACGTCAGGAAGTGTGAACAGTGTCAAAAATACGCCCCTATGATACACCAAGCAGGAGAACTCCTGCATTCCGTCACTTCGCCATGGCCATTCATAAAGTGGGTGATGGATATTGTCGGACCCCTCTCAGCAGGACGAGGTAAGGTACGCTTCCTTTTGGTTTTAACTGACTATTTTTCTAAATAGGTGAAAACATGTACATACACCCAAATACACGAGCAAGAAGTTATCACGTTCATATGGAAAAATATAATATGTCGCTTCGGCATTCCCAAAAAAATTAGCTGTTACAACAGACCTCAGTTCGTCGGAAAGAAAATGACCGAGTTTTTTGAAAAATGGCACATCAAGCAAATACTCTCCACACCATACCATCCCGCCGGCAACGGCCAAGCCGAATCCTCCAATAAAATGATACTGAATATATTGAAATAGAAGCTCGAGGATGCCAAGGGGCTACGGCCTGAACTGTTGCCAGAAGTACTATGGGCATACCGCACTACGCCAAAAACTAGCACTGGCGAGACGCCATATTCACTAGTCTACGGGACTGACGCGGTCATACCCGTCAAAGTCAGAGAACCTAGCCTGAGATACTCCAACGAAAGCGGACCAAGCAACGACGAAAGTAGGCTACAAGATCTGGATGAAGTCGAAGAATGAAAAGATATGGCCCACGTAAGAATGATAGCCCAAAAGCAAAAGCGGAAAGGTACTATAACTAGAAAGCCAAAGTACGACCGCTCAAGGTTGGAGACTACGTCCTCAAAGCTAAAACACAAGCAGTGAAAGACCCTAATAAGGGAAAACTGGGAACAAACTGGGATGGGCCATACAAAATCACGGCGGCAGCAAACAAATGAGCATTCCAGTTAGAGACAATGGAAGGAAAACTACTCTAAAATAATTGGAATGTCGTCCATCTCAAATACTTCCACTTCTGAAAAGAGGTGCCACCTAAGTCGTACTCTTTTTTCCCTCATCCCGGTTTTGTCCCAATCGGGTGTTCTCGGTAAGGTTTTTAATGAGGCGGCAAGGGGGACGTCTCGAGGTCCGAAGTATTGTTCATTACCCTGCCCATTGACGTGATCTCCAGGCCGAGTAATGAAGGGACTAGGTATAGACATCCAAATCTCCATTGTATGTACAAAGTCAACATGTATTTCCTACAGATATATAATCGAATCTCCAATGTGTGAATGAGATTCCCAATGGCTAAGGCCATCGATAAAAGCATGAGTTCGACTTCACTCGAACCACGACGGGATCCTACTTCGACACCAGCTCGAAAGTAACATCCCAATGGCTAAGGCTATCGACAAAAGCATGAGTTTGACTTCACTCGAACCACGACGGGATCCTACTTCGACGCCAGCTCGAAAGTAACATCCCAATGGCTAAGGCTATCGACAAAAGCATGAGTTTGACTTCACTCGAACCACGACGGGATCCTACTTCGACGCCAGCTCGAAAGTAACATCCCAATGGCTAAGGCCACTATAAAAGCATTAGTTTGACTTCACTCGAACCACGATGGAATCCTACTTCGATGCTAGCTCGAAAGTAACATCCCAATGGCTAAGGACACTAACAAAAGCATGAGTTCGACTTCACTCAAACCACGATGGGATCCTACTTCAACGCCAGCTCGAAAGTAACATCCCAATGACTAAGGACACTATAAAAGCATTAGTTCGACTTTACTCGAACCACGACGGGATCCTACTTCGACGCCAGCTCGAAAGTAACATCCCAATGGCTAAGGCCATCCACAAAAGCATGAGTTCGACTTCACTCGAACCACGACGGGATCCTACTTAGACGCCAGCTCGAAAGTAACATCCCAATGGCTAAGGCCATCAACAAAAGCATAAGTTCGACTTCACTCGAACTATAACAGGATACTAATTCAACGCTAGCTCGAAAGTAGCATCCCAATGGCTGAGGCCATCGCCAAAAGAAAAGGGTCCGGCCTCACCCGAAACAAAATCGGCTTAACAGTTCGACGAGTACCTAGGATATCATAAATATTACAAAGATCATCACCGAACAAAACAATTTCTTCATTACAACAAAATATTACTAGCATCTATCTTTACAACGGGCTCAAGCATGCCCTTACAAAAATCTTGAAGCAAAAAGTAAGTACAAACCAAAAATTATACATCATCCCCTGTAGCATACACATCTTCATACCAAGAGTCAGAGGCAAGACGGTTCGCATCATCAGAATTGATATCATCCCCGATAGGCATAAGAGGGTCGTATCCACATGCCTCACGAGCTGTACGAGCTTCAGCATGCACACCCTGAAGTTCCACTTCAGATGCCCTCCCGTCCGCACGAAGAGCCTTGTACACATCAAGTCGGGCCTCAGCATGAACCTACAACTCGTATAAACGACGAGGCATGACAGGATCGGCCGAGGCACGAGACATAGAAGGTTGTGAGTGTCGACTCGCATCCTCTGTTCTAAGTGATACCACTTTCCCGGTCAACACAGATAGCTCCGCCTCCAACTCCTTAACACGCCCCTCAAGCCCCGCTACCTTGTGTGTGGATGTCTCTTCCTCCTTGGTCCGCTCCGGCCTACAAAGACGGAGGGCATCCTCCAAAACTGACGCTTCAGAAATAGCAGCCGCTAGTCTATCGGCACTCACACTAAACTCACCCCTGAGCTTATTGATCTTCGCCATCTTCACACCCAGGTCGACAGTCAAACTGGTCATCTTCGCTTCTAGGTCGGAGTTCTTGGCCATCACCCCTCTACTTAACTAGATATCATCTTCCTTCGCCTTAAGGGATGCCTCAAGTTCACTGTTGCGGGCAATGACCTTCATAAGGTCCTCATCTCGCTCCCTCAACTCCTCGACCTTGCGCGCCAGTTGATCCTCCCTCTATTTAATCCCTTCGCGGAACAATTGGAAGTCGGGGTCCTAGTTGTAGATGTTAGCCATCGCACGATGCTTGGTGCGATATTTTTTATATTTAGAAGACATTTTCCCGTAGATGGTCGTCCTCTTCTTTTCCCGGCACTCGTGCTCAATCTCCATGACAAGGGTCTGGCACAATAGGAAAAAGTTAAAGAAGAAAGACAGGTCGAAAATAACGACGCAAACCCAATGACTAAAAAGAAGAGAAAGACATCTACCTGCAAGGCCATGCCGACGACGTTCCGAGATAACTCCATGTCGCTCATCGCTCCGAGCACCTCGCTCTCGGGAGCAACACATAAAGGGGCTAAAGCAGATGCTACTAATCACAATTCGACAGCACATTGTAATCCCCAGGAATAACTGCATGCCGATCAGAACCCTCCACTCTGACCTCTACATGAGTATGGCGTTCTAAAAACTCACGAACATCCCCTAGGTCGACATCTGAACCTGAGCCTTCGCCCTCGACGCGTGGGCCCCCTCCGATGTTAGACAATGCACCACCCTCGACAGAACGCATGGAACCACCTCCTGGGTAAACCCCTTCCATTTTGGGAGACCTCCTCGACAAAATAGCATCAGCCATAAACGTGGGC